GTCGTGTATATTATGAAGTGTTCCAGCTTTGTTGCTCTTTCACTGTTCCTAAACCCGCCTGACCACTTATTTCTATTGCCGCCCAGACATAAAGATTTTACCTGCCCATAATGGGTTTGTACTTCCTCATATTTGGGCTATAGGCTTAGCTAAACGGACCTTTCCTCTCCTACTCTCTTTTATGGTCTGCCTAAGTGTGACCAAAGGAGCACAGATAATCCATTTAACCTGAATAAACACCAATGCTTTAAACAGTCTCTTAACCCTCAGATTACCATCTGTTCTGTTTCATATATAATTACGTAAAATACTTCATTATGGCTGAGGAAAGGTGCCTTTACATTATTACACATCCAGATTTAGTGTCATATTATACCCTTGTATACAATTTCCCTTTTTCTCAAAATTCAAAATAAAAGATTGTGGGTGATCATGGAACAAAGGAAGCTAATTGCCTTAGAACAAAGGAGTCGGCAGCAGGGATGTCCAGCGGAGCCTACTGGCAACGCCCTGGGACTTCTTTTATTTACTTTACATTGTTACATTATCATGTGAAAACTTTAGAAAGCATTTGATTTCTTCTTTATGTAGTAGAACAATGTGGTCCTTACCTGGGATTAGGAAAGGAGCAGGGAGATCATAGCCTGAAACTTTATGTGACAAAAATGACTAGGCTGTTTCTAATAATTGCTACTTATTGTTAGTGTACTGGATTCCCAGCATGGTGTAGTAATGGATAGTGATGGACTTAGATGGAGAACAGACTTCTAATCTCCACTTGGCCATGGGAACTCACTGTGGAAGTGAAACTGGTAAAACCACTCTTTAAATAGCTCAATTACCTTAAAAGCCCTACGACTGCTATATATTGGTTCTGACTTGACAGCACATAACACACACATTGTTAGTACTAATATTTTAGTACTACTGGTGGTAGTATTTAGAAGGTATAAAACAATCGAAATGGCAAAAGCACAGCCATTCCAATTCTGTTTCCTTTAATCTGCCCAGCAGCCACTTCTGCTGCTGTTTGGAGAAGTGCAAATAGTGCCCCCTCCCCCTTTTAGGCAGTGCTAGGATTTAACAGGATTTTTAAAAACCTTCAAACTGACTGGGAGAGCCAAAGAGCAAAACAAGACAGCCTAGCTTGTGCTATCCATCACGTTATAACAACAAGCCCCTTTCCCCACCCCTTGGTGCCTTTCTTTTACCACCTCTTCTGTAACATTCTGAACCTCTTTCTTCTCCACTCCCACATTGTTTTGCTCCTTTTTACATTATCATTTCATCTTCACCCCATTACGCTTTGCCAGATGCAGAAATATTTAATAAGCAAGGTCTTTTCTGCTGGGTGTTTTGGGTTTTTTTGACTGGTAGTTTAGCATTAATTAAGAACTTCCTGGGAAATGTTTATTGCCCTGGTACAAAGTGAAAAACACAAAGGCGCCCCCCCCCAAAAAAAACTGGCTTTTTAAAAGAGTGTAAAGCCATAGGAAAAACTACTGAACATATCAGATCAAGCTTTGCATTATCTGTGTTGGGACTGGGGGGGGGACACACAACAAAATCAACAGTGCAGAAGCTGGCACTTTTTTGGGGAACCTTTGCCCCACCTGAAAAGCCCAAAGTCAACATGTCTGGTTTTTGTGCTCTTCCTCCTAAGACAGGTATGTGGGACCTTTGGCTCTCCAGATTGCTTCCAGTGTGTGTATTCAGATCACACAGCTACACGCTTAATCCTGTACACAAACAAAGGGGAAAAGATTTCCAAGAAAGTAGCCTTACGAGTCTGTTTCAGCATGTTGGCAAAATAAAAGGGGAATAAGGAAAAAGATGACAGGGAGACCGAGGAAAAAAGCACAAAATACGGTGGCATTTTATAGACTAACAGGCATATTTCAGTGGGAGGTTTTCTGGATCAATATCCACTTCTTCAGACACAGGGAGTGCAGATTATTGTCCTCTGAATTTTATACATTTCTCCATGACCAAGCAAAGGTATAGATGATAGACCAAGTGACAATGGTGTGTTCACACCAGAAGGTTGCTTACCTGTAACAGTAGTTCTTTGAGTGGTCATCTGTGAATTCACACAAATGGGTTCTTTCTGTGCCTGCGCTGACATCTTCTGAGCCTTCTACAGCTTAAAACAGACCAGTTAATCCCTCCCTCCCCCAATGCTCTGCCAACACCCTCTAATTCTCAGTTCTCCAGTCCACTGCTGAAAGAGAACAAACTGAAGGGAGGATAGGTGAGTTGTGTGAATTCACAGGTGACTACTTGAAGAATTAGTTACAGCTAAGCAACTTGTCCTTCTTTTTTGTGGTCTCTGTGATTCACACCAGTGGGTGACTGGCATGCTTGGGATGTCACGCCAACACATGGGAGACCATTGCCCTGCCAAATGAGGAATCAACATTTGCCCTGATAACCAGTCTGTAATATCCGACAAATGTCGATGGCTGAGACCATGTTGTCACTTTACAAATGTCGGTCAATTTGGAGTCCTTTAAGAAGGCAGTGGATGCAGTGACATCCCTTGTGGAGTGACCATTTAAAAATGTGGGAAGTGGCTTTCTGGCCAACTGGTAAGATAGGGTTTCCAGGGTGTGTGTTCAGAGGAGGAAGATGTCAGGTCCCTGGAGTCTGACTTCGGTGTTATAACAGGAACCGATGCAGATTTTTCAGATACGGTGTTTTGAAAGGTTCAGAAGGATTTATCTTTCACAAGTTCGTGCTCCTTCTCTGCATGGCTGTGCAGTCTCTTCCTGCCTCTTATCAGTAGAGGCAGAAGCCCACTTAGTTGGTTCAGTGTAGGTGCAAACCTGCTTCTTTTGGACTTCCAAAAGAAGGCTCTTGATTTAATGCCTGAACTGGATCTGTTTCTGGAATTAAAAACAGAGGGTTCATTTCCTGCTTCCAGATGCTGGAAAGGCTTTGGTGTGAGAGAGTGGGACACCTAGGATTAGTTTGCTGCCTTTCAATACTGAGAAGGCTTTGGTGTCAGACAGCGGGAAACCAATTGATTCGAAGGACACCAAGATCAATCTAGGTGTTTGAGCCCCTCTTCAAAGCTCTTGGTATGAAAGACCTGGTAGGATGGAATCAAGAGAAACAGAGCTCAGATTTCTTACAGGTATTGCTTGTTGAACTGGGAACCTCAAAACTGTGGTGCATTTACTGTGATCAGAATGCTGTCTTGTAGATCAAGGCCTGTCCATGAGCATATTGGGCTACCATCAGGGAGAACCTTGATGACCCATGGAGAGAGTCTGCATGCATTCCTCTCTGCATCTTCTAGTACTCAAGACAGAGTGGTGGGTAATACCATTCTGGGTCTGGATAGAATTGAGGCATCTGTCAAAAAACAAAACAAAGTGGATACATTGATTCCAGCATCAGGTAAGTATGTGAGGGCTGGTGAGAAGACTGTAGTATTTTCTGGTGTGGTCCTTTATCCTTAACCATCAATGCTGAATCAGACGAGGAATGATCAGCTCACTTTTGGAATCAAGGTGAGTCTCCGTGTATAACTTTCTTCAGGCTCTGTTGGAGCATAGTTCATTCAGGGTCCACTGGGTCATCTGTCTCCACGTAGTTCTTTGAGTGAAAACAAGAGACAGGGTGTTGTCTGTGAGAGATCTCCTCTTCAGAGACTGGCCCCTGAGCTTGATGTTAAAAGGTTTTGGCTGAAAGGAAGGGAATGTTGATCATGCAAACCCACAAAAGAATCCTCATAATATATGTACGCTTCAGTAGTAGGCTCCCAAGAAAGTCGGCATGGTATTCCGCATAGGATGTTTTTCCTAAATTTTGCTTAAATCATACCTTCCTTGTGAACACAGGGGCTGAAACATGACAACTCAAGTGTATGTTTAAAACTTATCAAACGGTACTATACAAAGTACAAGTGTCAACTGTAAAACTTCTACAAAAGGTTGCTTTTTAATATCTCACCTTGTTTAGGTCCCCCTCCCCCATGAAGCTATGAAAATGAAGTAAACTGTACAATTTTCACATTTGTGTTTCTCTCTGGAAATTCTTTGGATATGTACATACATAAATGTATCTGGAACAAAGAAAAAGAGTTTTATTTTCCAGTGGTCCAACAAAACATACTTTATTCAAGGCCACAGCATTAAATTCTCTGTGTTCAACAGGCAACAGTCACTTCAGTCCACAAAGATTAATCAGAGCTAGGTGTTTTAAATGCAAGAACTCACACATAATATCACACTTTCTCACAAGTGGCTCTTGGAGGCTCTAGTACAGCAAGACTTTGTCAGTCTGTGTCCCTGTCTTAACAGTTCTAGGGCAGAAATGCATGTTGCAAAAAAGAAGCAAAAAACACCAAGGTACCATAAAAGCAACACTAGGTTGACTTTCCCAAACCTTCGGCATGTTTCTTTTTGGACTGCAACTCCCAGAATCCATCAGCCAGATTGTGGGAGTTGTAACACAAAAACTGAATTTCCCCTGCTCGAGATATGCCGTTCTCCTCCTCGGCAATGTCTACCTCAGCTTAGGTGTTCTGATATCATTATAGTAAACACTCCTCTGGTCCTCTTCCATATTGTTTTCTACAATTCACTGGAGAGCTCTTGAACTAAGGATAGCAAGCCACATGGCAGGCTGAGGTAGACATTACAGAAGAGGAAGAGGGGGACCTTGTGAGGCCAGCATTTATCGCAACAGCTCTGCTTCCTTTAAACTTTAATCTTTTTGTATTAAAGTAGGTGCTTAATCAAACACATAACAAGAACTTCAGTGCAGTATCAGGTTGTTCCAACCTTAGGTTGGACTTTAATTAGAACACTCTCTGAAGGAGACAATCTGTTACAGGCAAATAAAGCAAGAGCCAAGATCTGGTATTAATCTTCTGAGATTCCCCCCAAGCAACCTCTACCACAAACATTTGCTAATTGACAAGTAAAGAAAGCCACATACCATTCTTCATGGCAGACTGCCCATTAAACCTTCATTTGTCATACACAGCAGACTGCCCATTAAACCTTCATTTGTCATCCACAAGTTGCTGAGAACTCAGCCCATTAAGCCTTCATTTGTCATACACAAGTTGCTGAGAAATCAGTGGCCACAGCACTTCTGCCATGAAAACTTCCATGTTTTTCCCCTCCTTTTGTAGAAGCCCTAATAATTTTGCATTAAAAACACATTCTCAAGTGAATATGCCTATATGAGCAAATATTCCTGGGGCAACGAATTCCAGCTGCTTTGTTACTACAAAGCTTCACTTTGGTCCTTTCTAATGTAGATTTTGGCCATTGCTGAAATCTGAAATGGTTGATCAGAAGAAACAGCAGGAGGAGCAAAAACTTGGGAGTTGCAGGTAAGAAGGAGAACAGACCATGGCGCTTTTAGTGAAACAAAGTGGTTCATAAAAGCAAGCACAATTTTTGGCTTAAAGTTCTTTGATTAGGAGTCATCATACAGAGGGTTGTTGTAGTTTCCCCAGGATCCATAGTCATGATCATCAAAGAGTCTTCCATATGAGGAATGCCTGCAGAGGAAAAAAGGAACAGCGACTTACTCTGGTTATCTCATGCTTATTGCTGGACCTACTTTACAGGCCCTGCTATTTACAGGACACAGAAAGAGAGGGAGTCTTGGATCATGACCAGCACACCACCAGGAAATAAAGCCCTCTGGTATCCCCCCCTTTACTCTTTTGGCAACTGGCTTTTATTACTGAAACCAGTAGGCTGATTAAACCTCTCTAACAGATGCTAGTTGCCTTGATTAATGGGCATCACCCACATCACAATTCTTTCTCATTTCCACCCTGCTAGCAGTTTCAGAAATGATACTGAAGACTGACACAAACACAATGCAGCTCACTCTGGCCCACTATCAGGATGAAAAGCTGCCAGGAAATCGCTCCCCTTCCCGCAAAAGCACTTTGTGCCAAGAGATGACACTTTAAAAGTGAACAGCAGTCGCAAGGCGGTAGAGACCCAGCAGCTCCCCGCCAGCTGTAATTTGCTTCAGGAAAGAGGCTCCTGATGTAACAAATAAGCCTGAGTGGATATAGAAAGCTACTGGCCACTCTAGGTGCACTATGCTGGGAGCTGAAGTCTTAAAAAAGGAACCTCTCTCACCTCTGATAGAAACAGGTTACAAAGGAAGAAAGACAAGTAAGAGATTTGTGTTAATACAGAGAACATTGTGTGGGTTATGTGTTGCCCAGACAGAAAAGAATACTATGGGTGCATTGCAGAGAGATTTTTTTCAAAAAGCAAACATTAGGTACATAGTTTTCTGGAATGAACCAGCCCTAAAAGGAAGTAAAGATCAAATTATATAAGATACCAAGCTCCACATTTAAAAAGAGTGTGCCTTTAAGTGGTGAAAGACTTCTTGGTTGTCTTTGCACAAGATTTTCTCACTTCTGCATCTTACATACTTTTTGTTTTGTTTTGTGATTGGTCATTGGGAAATAAACATGGACTGCACTCCCAAATCCAACTGCTCAGCTCTGAAGGAATTCTGGCACTAGAGGGAAAACATGCTATTAGCTTCTAATTACAAGCTGAGCATCTTGTGTGCTTTAATCCAGAGAGAGCTGGAGATGAAGGCTAGTGATGATGCAGAGAGAGGGCACAGCTAAAGTCAGACAGAAAAAAAGAGATAGCCTTAACAACACTTAGTGCTGCAGAAAAAGAGGCGTGCACATGCTATGTGGGATTGCAGACTTAATAGTGGTTTCAACAGAGAATGGATTTTAAAGCAAAAAAAAAAGCTAATATTTGACAGAGTTAATTAAAATGGATAAACAATTCTCAGAGATCTGAAATGTGTGTTCTTCCCTAAGAGTCTTTGACAGAATTCCCTGACCTGGAGCCATCGAGAGGTTTTGTACAACTGCTTCCAAAAGGTTTAGCCAGCACAGCTAAGGGCCAAAGATGGGAGTGGTGGCCAAAAACATCTGGAGTGCACTATATTGGAGAACTCTAGCCTAGACTAGCTGGAAAATGAGTTGCCTGTAGCTAGTAACTTTAAGAACTCCTTCCATTTTCAGTTTTGACGAAGAGCTGAAAAGCCAGACTTTTCCCAAGAAGCTACCGACTCCTCTGTAAAATAAAAAAGGGGGCGCTAACTCTTACCTGATCTTCAGGAATGCAGCCAAGCCAAACACCAACAGAACCACTGCAATCACTGTTACAGTAATAGCTGCAATGCTTCCTGCACAGGAAAGATGAGAAGTTGAAACGCTCTGTTGTTATAACTCCAGATTCAATGTTCCAGATCTGTTCCATTATTATGATTCAGTACAGGATGCTAGCATACTACTCTTTGATGTGAAAATGGCAGTGTGAGAAATGATTTCAGCATGAACAAGTGAGATATGCCATCATGCACTATCTTCAAATCCAGCAATTTGTAAGCCATTAATAATTCTGCATAGGTATTTTCTTTACCTGCTGCATTTTTTATCACACAACACACTAGCACTGTCAGATTAAGAAAAGAGAGTTTAGAGTTTAACACTAAAGCATAATAAGAATAATAAGTAGTTCATGTAGCAATGCATGTGGGTCAATATTTTCTTATACATGTATTATTTGGCGTTTTTGGATTACAAACCTCGTAATTCTCTGTTCTGGGAGTTTCACTGGACAAGACATATAAATGTGGCTCACTTGGGAGAAAAGCTTGAAGGCTACATGGCTTAGCTATCCCAGTGCTAGTTGGGAGCTTCCTTTCTCAATAGAAAGCCTGGGTAGAGCTCGGCTACAAAGCCTTCAAGCTTTGGCCAGTATGCCACAATAACGTGTTCTGTCAGGTGAAACTCCCACAATCGAGAATTATAGGGTCCATAGTCCAAAGATTCCAAATAGCACATCCCTAATAATTATTATCCAACTATTTTGAATGGCAGGGTGAGGCTGTGAGAATGGATGCAACCATCATGACTACGTGATCTGAGTGGTGAATTTCTAACTTCAGTGTTCATGTTTATCTCAGCTCAATACTACTTAAGCTTTTATACTAAGTTACTGTAAAAAAAAATTGTAAAAGGATAGGGAGTGTGGGATGCTTATATGCATGAAAATAAACCTTCAAAGTTCAGCGTTTCTTGTTGCCTTTTCTGAACTGCAAAGGATCTGTATAAATAGACCATGTAGGTTTCATGTGTTTTCAAGTTACTTCCCAAGTCACAAAGACTTAGACATGTAAGGGTTGAAGGCTGAATACTAAATATTCTGCTCATGTAACATTTGTTGACCTTTGAGTTGCCACTGTGGACACAGGAAGCCTTTGTCCAATATATTTGGTCTAGCAAGAGCAGATCCATTGAGTCAGTGGGATTTATATAAGACTTGAGTCAATGGGTTTACACTTAGATGGGATTACAGATAGGATGCTGGCCTTTGTTTTTACACTCACTGTACTCTCCACAGAGGTGAAAAGGGTTACTCTTTACTTTTTTGAACTACAGTTCTCAGAATGCCCCATCCGGTATGGCTACTGGTCATCCTGCTTCCAGTATTTTGGGAGCTGTTAGCCCCCAAATAGTGACATTTCCTATCCCTGAGTCTTCCATATATATGCAACATTAACAATAATAGTTCTTCGACTAAAATGGTAAGCATTGATCTGTGTTAGCATTCATGACCAAAGCTTTAAAAACTGTAAAAAAAATTCTGCAGTCCTAAATTACCAGACCAGAAAGAATTGATTATTTTTGTTCACAATCACTTGGTGTCAAAGAATAGCTTTAACTAAATGCCATTTTCAACAGTCACACTTAAAAGTTCACCAAATCAATCCAGACATCTTTCCAAGGCATGGCTATGAAGCTGTAGTTTGGCATAATGCCTGAATTTAGTGATACCAATTTCCACTCAGCTAGCAAACCAGGATCAGATACAATATTGTGGTTTGCAATTGCTGGTTTTTGAGAGTTATGGTTTAACATGTTGCATGAACGGCTGGAGGCAGGGGCACAGTTACGGCCACCACTCTGCCTCTCACAACCTGCTCTATCCCAGAGGTAGAAGTGAACACATAAAATTGAGAGGACAGTCATGGAAGCAGACAGTCATCTCTGACCCATGGCTTGCTTATTATGCAGGTAGGCCATGCCTTGGATTCTCTGCCGGCACAAACTATGGTTTAGTATGATGCCTGAATTCAATCTATATACAGGTCATACTCAGAAAGTCAGTATTTCACAAGTTAAGCCAAAATAATAAGATGGAACTGTATGAGTAAAAAATGTTAGTACAGTGGTGCCTCACTAGATAGTTACCCTGCATGACAGTTTTTTCGCTAGACATTGACTTTTTGCGATCGCTATAGCAATTCGCAAAACAGTGATTCCTATGGGGGAATTTCGCTGGACAATGTTTGGTTCCTGCTTCGCAAACCAATTTTCACTAGACAACGATTTTGACAGCTCCCTCCACGCTCGCAAAACAGGTGTTTTCGGGACCTAAGCTTTGCAAGATACCTATTTAAACAGCTGATCAGTGGTTCGCAAAGTGGCTTTCCTATGGCCTATCTTCGCTAGACAACGACGGTTCTTCCCCATTGGAACGCATTAAAAAGGTTTCAATGCATTCCAATAGGGAAATGCTTTTCCCTACACAATGATTTCGGTAAACAGCGATTTCAATGGAACCGATTATCATCGTCTAGCGAGGCACCACTGTATGTGCTTACACAAATGAAACCTGGAGGACTCTAAACACCAAGAAGAATGTGAGTATCTACAGACTGCCTCTTTTTCTTTTTTTGGACATAAGCTTCCTGCTCTATGAAACACAGATACATATACAGGTATTAGGCAAATGTAAAATATTCAGGCCAACTTCCGCTTACAAAGGGCCAAACTATACACAGTACTAAATGTGTTTCTTTGTCACATTTTTTAAAAACTTCACATTCTAGAATGCCTGAGGAGACTGGGGCCAAGGGGTAGAGAGGGTGAGCTTTTTCCCTTCCGGCCATGTTCCTGACCCCTCCCCCCAAAAAAAAACCACCACTGAGGGGCTGTTTTCTTAGGGAGGAGAACTCCCATCATGGCCAAGTGCTGGGAAATGAAAATGCATAATGTTCTACAAACACCTGATTGAACCAACTCACCTGGACTCAATGCATGCTCAATCTCTTGCACAGTTACCCCTGCAGAGAATGTGGCATCATGAATACGGGAGGCCTCTGGAGTAGCTTTATTTGCTAAAGGGCCTTGTGAAGATGTGCCCTTTTCCTCTGGCCCTGAGGAAGTGACCAATGCTGTAGGAGTCTTCCCAGATGTTGCCTCTTTGGTAGGGAGTTTTTCACTTGGGATCACAGTTACTGCTGATGTTTCTAAGCCTGATGATTGGGTTACACCAGCTGTGCCATTGTTTGTCATATTGGAAGTGGTGATGATGGTCGGTGACTCACTTAAAATCTGAGAGGTGGTTGCTGGGGTCTGAGAAGGGATCATGACGTCTGTTGTTGGGTTGGCAGCTGATGTTCCAGAGGCCAATGGGTGTTCTGTGCTTTGCTGTCCACTGCTTGACCATGGTGATGTTGTGACATGAGTTGTCACTGTTCCTGATACAGGGGTTGTAGTCAAACTCCCCACTTCTGGGGCAGTGTTTACAGAGCCTGTGTGTGTAAGTCCCAATTCAGTTCTAAGGGAAACAGTGGCTGATGTTGCAGCTGTTGTCACAGTGCTCCCTGGAGTGCTGATTATGGGTGTAGCAGGTTGGCTAGCAGATGCTGTACTTCCTGAGATAGTTACCTTTGGTGGAGTAGTTGGACTGGCTGAGGATGTACAGCAGATGTTTAGTTCTGCACAGGTGAAACATACATACATATATTATTAGCCTTCCAGACAGCCTCTCTCACCTCACACAAGAATTACGCTTTGCTAATTAAAATCCCGCTGCCGTCTTCACTAATCCACCCTGCTCTGGATTCCAGAGCAAGGTACTCATATAGTAGAATAGTTATAATGCAAACATGCACCGCTACATTTACTATCTGAATTGATGGCCATGGGGTGGAATGGAACTTTGTGCATTTTTAAAAGAACAGAAAGCAGAGAGACATAAATAGCCATTTCTTGAAAGGAGAAGATACAAACAGTGAGATACACCACAGATCTGTACTGATACTGTTTTTAGCTAGTTCAGAAATGATCAAGTTAGAGTGAAGCAGCGACACCAATGATAACACCTACGGTAATTATTTACAGTGGTTAGAATAAAATGGATTCTAAGCATAATTCCCAACTGGGGAACCACCATGAAGTATAAGCAAGTGCAAAGTACCCCATACAAGTGTAGGGGGAAAAGCCAACTTCATATATACACTGATGGAATCTGAATTAAGAGTGACTGACCAAGAAAAAGCAATCCTAGAATTGTAGACAGCTCAACAAAAATGATGATCTAACTTGTAAGTCCTCTGAGAAAACTAAATGCTATATTTTCATATTTAGAAAAAAACCCTGCCAATATCACACCATCCTTACACAAATCAATAGTACAACCAAACACAAGATATGATGTCCATCACTGTAAAAAGAGTAACTTTAAAAGTCTATGTTTTTATATGGTGTTAACTATGGAATATTATAGTACAAGATATAGTGATCAGTAAGCTGATTGACTTGGACAGCTGAGAAATTGACATAAATGGATAGAGATTTAACACTATCAATGGTTGCTAGTCCTGGTGACCACATATTAGCTCTAGTATCAGAGGCATATGGGAACATAAGCCAGAGGGTGCTGTTGTACTCTATTTGTGCAGTTCCCTTCTGCAACTTTCGCCATTGTGGAACAGAATGCTTTTGTCTGATTCAGCATATCATTCTTATGTTCTATAGACAAATAGAAGAGTTATTCTGGGCATCAATCTTTTAAATAATAAAAAAGGAATATTCCCTGTTGTGACCTGCGATTAGCCAAAGTAAGTAATCAAATGTGCTGAATATTGGACAAATATTCCTGTTTATATCAGGGAGCAAGTCAGGTGAATTCAAACAGAAACCTGAGCTTTTTCTGATCATTTTTCAGATTATTTTTGGATTTGAATTAGTAAAGATGTTCGAATGATGCAGGACAATCTATTTGAGCCTGAGGAAAACTCATAGTGCCAGGAGCTTTCAGTTTATATTAACTCTCAGATTCTAGTACGATGTGTTTCTTTCTTGATGTTTTAACAAATACCACCTTTCACTTTAAATGCAGCAATACTCACGTTTGTTGAATTTATCATGTCCCCCAAAATCTTTCTTTTCTGTCATCTCCAAATCCCCAATTACTGGCAGCAATCTATTTGACAAGCATTCAGAATGGTGTGAACAAGCGGCTGCTGCAGGCATAGGAATCTTTACACTGCCTGGCTGGCGTTCATGATTCTAACACTAGCAATAGGCTATAACTAGAATTTCTCACACTTCCGAACACCCGCTAGCTAGAAAATAAGCTAGCATGATCTGAAACTCCTCTACATCCCTGAACTCTTTGCAGCTTCCATGGTGTTTGCACAACAGCTTTGGTGGCTGCAACACTCAAGTTCTCCTCCTGGATGCCACCCCACTCCACCCAACTTCATGACCACTTTAAAATAATCATGTCCCATCAATTCTGACCAATGGTGAGTGTTTTCAGGGTTTTCCAGATAGTGAATATTCAGAAATAGTTTACAATTTCCTTCTTCTGGGGGCGCACTGGGACTTGTGACCCTTGCCCAAGGCCACAAAGGCTGGCTTTACTCGCAGGAGGTACAGGGGGGAATCAAACTCCCAACTTCTGGCTCTGCAGTCACAGACCCAAACCACTGAACTATCCAGCCAGATCATTACCACTTTATGGACGCTTTCACCCCCTTACTGAGCAGGGAAGCTCCCGTTAGTGAATGAATTCTATCAATATGATGCAAACCTATCTCTGTGGAGACCTTGAAAAGAAACAACAAAGGACTGCCTAGTATATCCACTTCTCTATGCTTCAGGTGAGCTGAACACAGAGGAAAATGTGTAGTATGTTTGTTGTGGGTTTTTCGGGCTCTTTGACTGTGTTCTGAAGGTTGTTATTATTATTAAAGGAAGAACAACCTTCAGAACACGGCCAAAGAGCCTGAAAATCCCACAACAACCATTAGATCCCAGCCGTGAAAGCCTTCGCGAATACATTGTAATATGTTTATCTATTTATTCTCCAAACATTTCATTAAAGTAAAAGGGAAGCTAAAGTGCCAAAATGACACCAAAAAAGATTGGAAGGAGAGTTGTGCTGGCCAGCTGGCACTATCCTCAACTGCTGTTTCCCTGTCTGAGTTCAACCCTGAAAGCTACAGGATTCCAAATTGTATGTCTAGTTTTATCAATGCATTTATTCCCTCAGCATGTCTTTCGCTTCATGTTTCAATACCAATTTCAGGCACGGCCATGGAAACCAAATGGAACAGCAAACTCATATAAGCTGTCCGATAAAATTATTCCTGTGGTCCTGGCTACTATAACACTTTTCATATACCAACACACAGCTGTCTTTAGAATTCAAAAATAGCTTTTCTATTTCTACGTCCAGTTTTCAATAGGTATTCCAATGGATTTCAACATGTGCTACTGACTGTAGCTGACGTCCACAAGACTGGCAAGACTGGTTAAGAATACACACTTAATAACAACTTCTTTTGTCTTGTGGAAACCACTGCTGTCTTTGTTCTAAGAGTATATGGCCATCACACATTGGCATTTTGTAATTCTTCTTAAGGGCCATGACAAAGGCAAATGCGTCAGACCAGGAAGGAACTTGGAAACAAGAGATAGCATCGCAATGAACACAACCAATTGGACATCACAAGGATCTGCTGATTTTATAGCTGAAATGGCTCTGACAGAAGATGCACTGATAAAATGGACGCAGCATAATTGTACAGGCCTGGGAGACACCTACATTGAGATGGTGCCCTAATAATTCAACATGGTAAGACGGGCCCTCTAAAACACTTGAGAAAACTAGTATCTGTACTGTTTGTCCAGTCTATACTTCAAGCATACTGTGATGAGAGGTGCAGTTAATTTACTTATGACTGGAGACGGGTGGAACAATCTTAACAGCAGTTCGTACATAGTGGCATTCTCGCTTGACAGCTACGTCACCCATCTATGCTGAACTTAATTCAAACACCAGCTGCCGTTGCCAGTCTCATCATCATGGTGTGCTTCTCTTTAACTCACTTTCAAATGATAAATTATTACACGTTTAGGTACAAATCCATTTATTTATTGTCTTTCTTTTTTTAAAAAAAAATGTACGGACAGTTGCAAAATGGCTTGGAGAGGAGAACTGAGGGAAGTTGTGATGTCAATACATTCAAAATGGATGCAACCAGAATGCAAGGTTGGAGAGGCAGTTTTTCAGTACCTGTCCCTGGAAACAGACACATATGTTTATACTAAACAGCGAGGGTTTCTTCAGATAGGCTCCAGCGTTGCCAAAATGTTACATGTCTTCACCCTTAGCTGAATATGTTCTGTGAGGGAAATATAATATATTCAATAGTCCTGAGGAAGGGAAATTATTTGTGGAATAGACCAGATGATTCAGATAAGAAAGCAATGTTCATAATTCAATTATTTAATCATTTAAATGAAAGTCTGTTTTCCCTGTGATGACTGGGAAGAAAACAGACTTTCCACTCTTTGATTTTAAGATGATTTATGTCCCTTTAAAGTATTCACTCTTCCTGTGATTCGAACTGCATGGAGGACAGAAGAGGGGTTGTGTTTACCAGCTCTGCCCCCCTCCCCATTTCTAGGAAACTAAAGCGGAGAAGGACTTCTTTCTTGAAACCCAAGCAAGTTCTTGCTGATCAGTGCAGACCAGTCTGTCCCAGTATCCTTATTACCTCTGACTACTTGCCATACTTGTTGGGGCAGACAGAAATTGTAGCCAAAAACATCTGGATGGCACCATTAGGGCTGACCACACTGACCTAAGAAAATGCAACAGAATTACTTGGTATAAGAATATGTTTCTTTAATTTAATGTCTTCAGCTTGGATTAACTGGCCAGAATCCTATTACTTATTCTCACCGGTAAGCAAGGGTATATATCTTAATGGTGAATCAGTATTTGTATATCTTTTTGCACTCCACTCACGTGACCCGACGGGCAACAAGAAATATAATTGCTGTCTTCTTAACTAGTGGCAATTCACCAGCAAAATATATGCCAGTGGACTGCTAAAGGCATAAATATCCAATTAGTTTCTAGCCTACATTTTATGAATAACACACAGGGAAAATAAAATGATCAAGTGAATAAGATACAGTAACGTGGCTTAGTCTCAATTATACATACACCAGTTTGGTTCACACAGAACACCTTTAAATAAAGCACAGACCCTGAACCTATCAGTTCTGGCTAACCATACAGACACCTGAACCTATCAGGTTGGTACTGACTGACACACAGTAGTACCCTGTCTGACACACAGACTCCCACACCAGCTTCTTCTCTCAGCTCTCCTTCAGCTTCTCCTTCAGCTCTCCTTCTTCTCCACACACGCTCCACATATATATACAGTACAGCCCCTCCTCCTGATGTCCCGCCTTCCACTCCCCATAGGATGGAACTTTCCCTCCAAACCCATGACAGACAGGTAACATCAGTGCTGTATGTAACAATGACTAAACAACAACTACATTTTAATGCACAAATAATAATTTAAAATGGCTCCAGCTGACCTCAGCCAGTGGCCAGGATCTTAACAACATCTGAAAAACAGTCTAACAGCAACTGAAAAATAGCCTAGCCTGTTGTTGTTTTTTA